CGGAATGCAGTTGCATCCACCACAAGGGAATAAGTTTCCTCATAATCTATTCCTGGTCTCTGTGAGAATCCATGTGCTACAAGCCGTGATTTATATCTCACTACTTCTTCTTTCTCATTTGTTTTCCTCACAAAAACCCATTTGTGTCCAACTGGTTTGACATCACTTGGTGTCAATATTATAGGGCCAAAAACGCCACTTTTCTTTAATGATTCTAACTCCACGTTTATAGCTTCTTTCCATTTGATCCAATCTGATTGTTGAGTGGACTCATATATGGACGTGAGTTCTTGATCTTCATTCATATCCATTAGTTCAAGTGCTACCTTATATGAAAATATATCATCGAGCTCGATTTCTTTTCGGTTCCATTGTATTACAAACATGATATAATTTATAGAGATCCCATTATTATCCGGACCTTATGTACCATGAAGCTCAGTGTTCCGAGCCCCATCGTTTGGCACAATCGGCCCGACTGGTTCAGTCGGCACGGCCGGCCCACTTGGCTCGACCAGTTCGGTCGGCATGGTCGGCCCATCCATATTCTGGACGGTTCCCATGGTTCCCTCGGATCCAACGTCTTTCTTGGACTTCTGAGGTTTCTTATCTTTGGAACCAATTGGTCTACCACGTTTCAAGCGTTGTCTAGACTATTTAGCAACTTGACTTTGTCCCTCTTGGACTTCTATTCTTATTGGTGCATTACAAGCCGGGATATATGACTTAGTCACTCTATTCGGGTCAGCAAATGAATCTGGCAACTTATTAGCTAGCTCTTGTAAATGTATAATCTTTTGGACTTCTAAATCACATTCTTTAGTCCGGGGATCTTGGCAAGATATTGATGGTTGAGAATATTCGATTTCCTTAACCAACCAGATATTATCTCCCCCTAAGGTCGGATATGTGGACTCATCAAAGTGTGAGTCTGCGTATCTGACCTTAAATAGATCACTCGTAGTTGGCTCAAGATACTTAATAATCGTTGGGGAGTCATATCCAACATATATTCCCATCCATCTCTGTGGTCCTATTTTAGTTCTCTGTAATGGAGAAATTGGAACATATACGGCACATCCAAAAGTCTTAAATGGGATATGTTTGGATCATGACCCGTAAGTAATTGGGATGGTGAATATCTATGCTCACTAGATGGCCTGATGTGAATTAACTCTGCTGCATGTAATACTGCATGTCCCCATGCTGATACAGGGAATTTAGACCTCATGAGTAATGGTCTAACTATCAGCTGTATGCGTTTAATAAAAGATTCGACTAAGCCGTTCTATGTATGGACATGTTCCACGGAGTGTTTCACACTTACCCCCATGGACATACAGTAGTCATTAAATGCTTGGGACGTGAACTCACCAGCATTATCTAGACATATAGTCTTTAAAGGAAAATCTAGAAAATGTTCTCTCAGTCTTATGATCTGAGCAAGCAGCCTTGCAAATGCCAAATTTCATGTGGATAATAGGCAAACATGCGACCATATGGTCGATGCATCTATCAGGACCATGAAATATCAAAATGTGCCACTAGGTGGGTGTATTGGTCCATATATATCTCCTTGAATCCTTTCCAAAAATGTATAATTTCCTTATTAACCTTTACTGGTGATGGCCGAGTTATGAGTTTCCCTTGTGTACATGCTACACATGTGAGGTTCGTTGGGATAACTCTCTTTATTTTGTGCCCTTGAGAATTCATTAACATTTTGCGCATCATGTTAGAACCGGGATGGCCAAGCCGGTTATGCCATAAAGTGAATTTTTCGCAGGCATTAGCCTCGATCATACTGATCTTTGCATAGTATAGACCAGTAGAGATTGCAGGTAGATCTCTAGGACTCTCTTATTGCCTTGGACGTTTTCAAACATAATAAGAAACTCTTTATTTCCTTCGTCATTTGTTTCAAGGTGGAAACCGTTTAATCTTATATCCTTGAAACTCAATAAGTTCCTTTTGGAACTGGGTGAATATAAGGCATTAGAAATCTCTAGATGAGTGCCATCAGGCATCAATAAATAAGCATGGCCGTGGCCTTCAATAAGGCTGGCTGTACCGCAATAGTTTGTATATAGGTATTTTGCATAGTGAGATTGATGAAATATCTTTTGTCTCTAAGAATTGTGTGGCTTGATCCACTATCCACCACAAGAATACTCATCTCATCTTTCATTCTAAAAATAATCATAATCTCAGAGACTTATAAATAAAACTTGCATATTATTAAAATCAAAACATCAAACAATAATAGTAATAGAATTCAAAACAAGAAAACATAGAATCAAAGAAAACAAACAAGATGTTGAAATTTTAGTCTTTTAGACAATCTGAGGTTTCATAATCATCTTGACCATCATGGTCTTGGTCGAAATCACCATTCTCATCTTGGACCATATGGGCTTCAGGGTTCTTGTCTTTCAGATACTCTTGATAGAGATCACATAAGTATTTAGGAGTTCTGCATGTCTTGGCCCAATGATTTCCCATTCCACATCTGTGGCAAAGTGATTTGGTCGAGTGATTGGTCAAGTAAGATGGCTTAGATATGCCACCTCGACCGCGGCTGTAACCACCTCGTTCATGGCCATGACTGGGACCACGACCACGGTTATTGTGGTTTCCTTGTCCACGGCCGTACGATCCATAATTGCCTCGACCACCACGTCCACTCCATCCACCACGGCCTCGACCGTGTGGTCTATTATCATAGACGTGGTTGCTTTCTTTGGAACCTTTCTTTTCTTCGACAAGCCTTATTGGCTTCTGGTAATGGGGCTGATCCAGGAGGTCTCATTGTTTGTCTCGGCTAGAAGTAGGCAAGAGATCAGATCAGTGTATGTGGTGAAACCTCTTTCTCTGTACTGCTGTTGCAGCAAGACATTACTGGAATGGAATGTAGAGAAAGTCTTTTCTAGTAAATCTTTCTCGGTTACTTCTTCACCACATAGTCTCATCTTTGAGACAATCTTAAATACGACTGAATTATATTCATCCACAGACTTATAGTCTTGGAATCTGAGATTTCTCCACTCATATTTAGCTTTTGGTAATAGCACCGTTTTCTGGTGATCATATCTCCGCTGTAAAGCGGTCCAAATGTCTAGTGGATTCTCCATAGTCAAATACTGATCTTTGAGACCTTCTGCAAGATGGTGAGTGGTGACGAATGATACTTATTGCCCATTATCTGTTTTTTGTCATTCTCATCATTATTCTCGATGATAGTCTCACCGAATCCCTTTGACCTCAGACAAATCTTAGTATCCAATGCCCATTGCAAATAATTCTCTCAAGGGAAATTAAAGGCAGCATAGTCCAGATTGCATATTTTCGACATTTGAATCAATCACAATCATATTTTAGGGTTTCATACACTAAACAAGATATGCGCATGAAAACCAAGCAAAGATATCGACCAAAACAATTCTATGTCAACCATGGTGCGATCAAACAACCTAGGGTTTTGAGTTCTATATGTAATAAGGGGATAAGGCCACACGACCATGACATATGATGCAAACAATCTGGTTTCTATCAATCATATGCAAGTAAAGAACTTTAGAAAACAATGACCAAATTCGGATTCTATTTATTAGGTTTAGGGTTTGCAAATTTAGGGTTTAACAATCCTAAACAATTATATCAATAGGATTAGGGTTTAGCAATATCCGCCTAGGGTTCTAGGGTTTCTAGATTAGGGTTTAAAAACAACTTTTAGCTAATGATTTCTTAAAACCTCTAAACAATTCATAAAATTATCAATCAGATTTAGCAATATATGATTTAGGGTTTTCAAGGCCCTTTTAGGATTTCAGATTAAAACATAAAATATATCAACTTAAAACCTCAAAATCATCAAGCAACAATCAGCAATAAATCAAACAGATTTATAAATTAGGTTTTAAACAATCCAAAGCACCCGCTTCTAAGTTTTATGTAAAACCTCAAATAAACAATCAAACAATCAATCAAACAAATTTATTGGTTTCAATCTATCAACCTAAACAATCCATTGAACCTAGCAATTCTATTTGCCAAATTCGGATTCCTTATTAAGGTTTTAGGTTCTAGGGATTGATTGAATTACCTTAGGTTTTGTAGAGTAGAAATCGGACCACCTTAGAGAGAGAAGGAACCTCAGATGTGCTTAGTCGGAACTGGCTAGAGCTGTCAAGAATTTGTGGTCGGGATCGCATCTGAGCTGGTCGTGCTTGAAGGAGATGCGATCTAGGGTTCTTGTGGCAAAAAGGAAATACAATGGCGGCTGGTCGATGTGTGCCGAGAAAAGGAAAATCCGGCTAGGGATTTTGGCCGAGAAAAGGAAGAAGCAAGGCGAATGGCCGTGAAATGGAAAATCGGCCTAGGGTTTTGCTGGGTAAAAAGGAAAGAGCCGAGGAGGCTGGTCTGATCGCCGGTGGCTGTGCTAGGGGTTTTCTTGGTCGGATTTTAGCTAGGGTTTTGAGAGACAATTCGTGCTGATAACATTTTGTAAATGAGAGAGATTGTAGAGGAAAAATTGCTTGTGTGTTATTGATCATAGAAGTTCCTTTATATAAGGATTACAAGATATGAAATATGTAAATTATTCAAAACCAAAACTAACTAAGAATAGGAAAACTAGTACAACAAGGAAAAGGAAAACCAGGCCAATATTACCGTCTATGATCTATGCGTGTGGGTCTAATGGGCCATTTTGGTCATGGACAATCCACTATATGATTTATAACAATATGATGCTAATTGGTATTTTAACTTTTTATGTGACCCACTCTCATCTTTGGAATTTTGTACCAAGTAACCACAACAAATTTCGTACGGAACCCTAAAACCCGTAGCCGCTCGTGTTCATCTGCAATTCACTCGGTTTTTTTCTTCTTCTTCTCTCTCTCTCCAAGGTACGAATCTAAAATTAAATGCTTTCAGTGTGATCCTGCTGAGTCTTCTATCTCTTTTAGATTACACAATTGAAGGTTAATCTCCTATATATGGACTCTCGAAGTGGTGTGGCTACTGTTTCAAGTAAAGGTGAAGTGAATATATTCTTGGGTTTTGGATGAAACCTCTAAGATTGATTGATTTTGCGTTAATCATTCTTTTTGTCAGGGATTCGAAAGAAGGTGAAGAACTCGGAGTCGGTTGCGTTACAGAGATACAAGATTGATACTTATAACTTACTGGATCTTGATGAGGTTTTGAATGACGTCTACTGCTCTTGTCGACCTGTTTCTGCTGACTACGATGCTAGGAAGGATACGTTGAAACACCTCAATGCATTGGCTTTAGATATCTGTGGTAACATTAAGGGTAGCGAGCCGGTCCTAAAGGCGTATGGTTCTTTTGCGATGGATATGTTTTCCGCGCGGAGTGATTTGGATGTGTCTATTAACTTTGGTGATGGAGCATATGATGAGCTTCCTCGTGATACGAAACTCCAAATCCTAGGAAGCTCTGCTGAAAAGCTCCGCTCTCTGCAGGGTAAGTATTTCGATGTTTTTAGTATATTTTTTTATTGGCAGTATATGATATAATGTGAAACTTCCTTATGTAGGAGAAGGGCATGTTAGGAATGTTGTAGCTATCTTGAGTGCTAGGGTGCCAATCGTCAGGTTCTTTGATCAAAGGACTTCTGTCGAATGTGATTTGGCTGTCGATAGCAAATACGACATTTTGAATTCACGGATCATTCAGATTATATCTCAGATTGATGACAGGTTTCAGAAACTTTGTCTCTTGGTAAGATCTTACGCCTCTTTTTATTATGGTATATATTGCTGCAACTTTTTTTTTTTTTGACTATGTTAAGAACATGATGCCATGTTCTTTTTACAATCAAAGTTGAATATGCTAGGCTTACTACATATTGGACCTACAAATGCTATGGACTTTATGGCTAACAAATATGTAGATATGTTTTGTTGTGTTGGTCAATACATTTACTAATGCCACTATGTTGTCTATGTCAGATTAAGCATTGGGCCAAAGCACATGATGTTAACAGCGCGTCACACAAGACCCTGAATTCTATATCTCTAACCTTGCTAGTCGCTCATCATTTACAGGTATCCACTCAGCCACTCTTGTTGGATAGCCACACTATTCTTCACCCTCCACTTTTTTCATATTCTTGTTAAATTTTTGAATCTTCCGTTAATTTATGTAGAGTTTCATTTTAAGTTACATGCAGTGTCTAATTTGTTTATCTTCTGTGTTAACGAAGACTCAAGATCCTCCCATTCTACCTCCGTTCTCTTTACTATTAAAAGGTAAGATTATCACATATTCAAAATTTGGGAATGTTTTTTCTGATATTATCGTCTCCTTTGTAGATTTATATATTTTGCTTATGTGGTTTTCCTTTAATGAAATCAACTTGACTTTTTTTTCTTTTCAGATGGAATTGATCCTCCCAATGTTGAGAAAAGGACGCAGGAGTTCTTGAACTGGGGACAACGAAATAAAGAATCTTTGGGTAGACTCTTTGTAACGTTTTTCGTCAAGGTGCTTAGGTTTTTTAACTTTAAACCCAAAACTTGTAAAAATATTAAAGGTCAACGACATGCTTTTTGCTATATCTTAGATAGCTCTTCTGTGTCTTGCAGTTGCAATCTGTAGAGTTCCTATGGAGACAAGGACTCTGCGTCAGTTTCCTGAGTGGTCTTTGGATATCCAAAAGGTGGAGAAAAGCTGGTGTGGGGATTAATGTAACTATTTTATTCCGGAATATTCGATAATATTTCATTTGCATTCGTACTTTTTTTCTTTATCTTATTGCTTCAGATTTGGTGTGTAATGAATGACAGGTTGAGGATTTTATAGACGTGTCTCAAAATGTTGCAAGGGTGGTTAATGACAGAGGAGCTAAAAAGATTTACGGTTCTATAAACAAAACAGTCGAAGACCTTTTTGAGTTCCTCAATGGCAAGATCGATGGAGGACATCTCAAAGACAGGTTGTTTGTCCCCCAACCCGTTGTGGAGCCACCTCCCCCTGTGCCACCAGTGGAAGTTTACCATCAACCACCTCATCACAACTACAGATGTGATGAGTTTAAGGGTCGTCACAACAAAAGGCCTCGTTTTGGAGATGGTGGTTATTTCGTTCACCATAGGCATGGTGGTGAAGATCTAATGCATGTAGGTGACGACAATCATGCAGTTGATATTCCACCACCACCGCCACCTTTTGGCAGAGTTTATAGAATTTATTGCGATAAGTTCGGTCCTCAAAACTCTCCCTGACTTTACTTTGATAGAATTTATTGCCAAGCAATTTTTATAACCGAACCAGTAGCTAAGTTGACTTAGATGTCATCCTTTATGTTGCGATTTTGTCTTAGGAAACAATAATAATAATAAAGCTTAGCGATTTGTCACCAAAATAATCGTTTATCTATTCAGTGTTTGTTAGTTTCTCCCTATTTTGTTATAATGAAAATCTCCTTGGCCATAGCCACAAATACAATGGGTCGAACTGGTAATCAGCATAGGAACAATTAAAATTAATAGCAAAAAAAACGTAAAAAAAATAAATTTGAGGAATAAAGAAAAAAATTATTCCTTATCAATTTTGGAGAGAAATAAATTTGTTCTATATTTCTATAAAATATAAGTAATGAAAAAAATAGAAAGGGAAAATTATTCCTTGTAAATAATAAAAAAAAATTAGGAAGAATAAAGAATACATTATTGGGAAATTTGCCAAAAAAAGATCGAAAAACACAATTATTGTCCCCTTAGAATAAAATCAAATTTTGGTACTTTTGGATCTTTACTACCCTTTTTGTATATAAAAATTCAAAGTAAAAAATTTACAAGGTAAAAAATTGAGGAAAAATATACAATATGAAATAGAGTAGCATGTGAATATATGAAAAATATTTTTAGATTCGAAAAATGTTTGGAATAGTAATTTCAAAAATTGGATAAATCGGATAGTAAATCAGATCTACCATCTACGGCTGTTTAGAGTGTACAATCTACGAACAACTAATCCATCTAAAGGGCTTAGAATGCGTGATACACCAAAAACATATACAACTACGATTGAAGAATATGATAACTGACATTCCTTCTTTGTTATGCAGTTTTAGTAGAACATAACATATAATAAAGACCCATGCGTCTACCTTGGCAGAACATATCTTCTTAATTTTAATGTTTTATCTAGGCCCGTGGGATTACGTTTCCACTGGTTAAACTATGGAAAATTTGGTAGAATGTATCTTCTACCAACGGTTTATGAGCCACCATCCGAAAATCTAGCAAAATCTGAAAATAAATATTCTCTAAATATTTTTATTTTCTTTTTTAGTATATTTTGTCTTGAACGTGGGTCTTCTTCTTCTCACCTTGAAACAACCTCTTCTATTCTTCTAGTTCTTCCACTTCCAAGCTATCTAACAATGAAGATGCACATGTATACTTTATGTGGTTCGTGGAACTCGTCTGTAAGCAATGGATGGCGATTTGTTGTTGTTGAAGGAAAAGGAGGTAGGTTACAAACTGTGGACACAAGTTCATCTTTTGAACACCTGAAGTTGATCGTGTGTGAAGACTTTGGAATTGATCTAGACATGGTCAATATCGAGTTGAGTGACTTACCTTCATATTTGATGAATAGCATCAACTCACCACCTGTTTTCATCACCAATGATAGGCAACTCAAAAACTTTCTAACATATCTGAATATCAGAGCTTCTACGCAGTTATGTGTGTGTGTTCGATCTAAGGTGGATACAAGGAATATCAACGTCGAATTTGACTTGAGTGAAGAAGGGACTACTGAGTCGCCTAAGAGAGAGAAAGAGCGTGTGGTGCACGTTATTGATGGTCAAACCATGGTTGAAGAAGAAGATGATAACCTAGAGGAAAAGGATGACCAAGACATGATCAATGGAAAGCCTGTCCGATTTTCTTTGGTTGGTGTTGTGAAGAAGGGTCAGCATTTTACAAGCAAATTGGCTTTGAAGGCGACACTAAAAATCTGCGCAATGAAACACAATTTTGACTATAAGCTTGTCAAATCAGATACAAAAGTTTGGTATATTCGTTGTGCAGATGATGATTGCACCTGGCGTGTTCGTGCAAAAGGATTAACAGGGTCTTCCTATTTTATTATCAGAAAGTATGTACCTTATCATACATGTGCTCCATCATCAAGGAGCAATTCTGTCTGCACAGCTTCAGCAAAAACGGTTGGTTCCCTCGTAATGCACAAGTATGAAAGCACTAAGGAAGGTCCGAAACCTAATGACATCATCAGCTATATGTGTGATGAGCATGGAGTTGAGATATCATATTCTTTAGCATGGGATGCCCGTGAGTACGCAATAGACATAGTGAGAGGTATTCCTGAGCAAGGTTACGCTAAAATTCCCAAATACTTGCACATGATGAAGGAAGCTAATCCAGGAACACACACGGCTTATGAAACCGATACCAATGAGAGATTTAAATTCCTCTTCATCTCATTTGGTCAGTCACTTCGTGGTTTTCATGCTGCCATTCGGAAAGTTATTGTTTTGGATGGAACTTTTTTGAAAAGCAAATACAAAGGAGTATTATTGGTTGCTACTGCTTTGGATGGAAACTCAAATCTATATCCTATTGCATTTGGAGTTGTCGACTCCGAGAATCACCCCTCATGGGACTGGTTTATGAGACAGCTTAAAGTTGTCGTTGCTGATGATCACAGTTTAGCTCTTATCTCTGATAGAAACATTTTAATTGGCAAAGCTCTTGTGGACGTGTATCCGCAATCTCATCATGGAATTTGCATTCACCACTTAATCAACAATGTAGTATCAAGTTACAAGGGAAAAAGCGTCGCTGGTTTAGTTGCAAAGGCTTCTAAAGCCTATCGAGTTGCTGATTTTCAGAACATTTTCAGTGATATTTTGTCCATTGATCCTCTAATAGGCAACTACCTAATAGAAGCAGATGTGACAAAGTGGGCTCGTTGTGCTTTTACGGGTTACAGGTATGATATTAGGACCACTAACCCTGCTGAATCCATAAATGCTGCTCTTCGTTCGCCAAGAGAGTTTCCGGTTATACCTTTGTTGGACAGCATAAGGGAGATGATGAGTCGATGGTTTTTTCAGCGTAGAACTTTAAGTGCTAAGCATCCGCTGCCACTGACCATTGCTGTGGAGAAGAAGATTGACCGGAGGTTTGAGAAGGGTAAGAAGTTTAGAGTGTTTCCAATTACTGACGATAGCTTTTTGGTTCAAGGTGACATTTTTGATTGCATGGTTGACTTGGTCAAACGCTCATGAATTTGTGGGAAGTTCGATTTGATGAAAATCCCATGCAGGCACGCTATAAAAGCAGGGTTCAGTGTAGGGATACAACCACACACACTCACTGACGACGTGTACACCATTGCCTCATGGAACTCGGTCTATGAAGAAAGTATAAATCCTATTAGTGTTCCAGAAGATGCATGGAGTGTCCCATCTGACATCGCCCAGTTAACAATCCTTCCTCCATCAACTAGACAAGCTGCAGGTAGGAGAAGAAAACGAAGATACGTGACGACTGAAGATAAGATCCGTTCTTCACAAGGAACCCAAGGCTCTAAACGTCGTAAATGCAGTCGATGTGGCATTGAAGGTCACAACAGGACAAGATACATTAGAGCAATATAGGAATGCGGTCCTTTCATGTTTTTCTTTCATGTTGAACTCTCTTCTTTCATTTAAACCTCTGTTTTTTGAATGCTTTTTATGCATAAACCTCTGTTTTTTGTTTTTCTGCAAGTTATCTTTCATATTCATGATCCGTTTCATGTTGATTTTAGCAGTGTTTTTGATTTATATTGAATTTAGATGTCTTTGAAACATGTCAATAACACTAGAAATCCATTACTTGTTCTTATTAAATGTAGATAGAAATAGAAAAACATTACAAAATGTCAATCAAATTTAGAACAGAGACATAAAATACTGAGAATGGATCCTACACAACCAACATCTTGAGAGGCTTTATGCTTCATAACTTCTTCTTCCACCATCTTCAACGAAACACGCAGATCTTTAATTTCTTCTGCCATGAACGCTTGATGGTCATCCATCTTTTGAATCTCTTCATACATAGCCTCATCTACCCACTTAAAAAGATGTTGCTCTTTTTTCTCTGATTCGGAACAGAAAACAAATTAAGTCTCAACACAAAAGAATTGATAAGTATTTATATATGACATTTACCTGTAAAGCAATCTCACATCTGAAGAACCGTCGGTATGGATTCTCATCTGTTTTTGAAAAGTAAGTGACAATCTTCCTCCCTCACCAGCATCTGCGAGTGATTCCTTCAATGTTGTTCATGTTCGCCAATTTTTTCGAAAAGAAGAAAGAAAGACGATGAGGAAAAGTGGCCAAATTAGGGTAGATGATATACGTAAGTAACTCTCAAATTAGGATAGAGGACGGGAAGAATAAATATTTTTTTCATCCACACAAAGCAACGGTTCGCTTTAGGTCAGTGGAATACAATATGGAAAAAGATCCATTAGGTAATGGGTTCAAATCCCAAGAGTAACAACATTTTTTAGTTTTTCTTTACTCAGGCAGGGTTTAGGGTTTCATTATTGTTTAGGGTATGGATTTACCAAGATTTTTGTAACATGATTTTTGTTCTTTTAAAAGATGATTACTATATAACATTTACATTTTATTATTTTATTAACTTTAAAATCTGCAAAATTATAAAATAGTATTTCTTTCTAACAACCTACAAAGATTCAAATAAGAGATAGGAGTTTAGGGTATGGTTTATCTTATCTCGTAGATGATATACGTAAGCTTCTCTCAAATTAGGATAGGAGGGGAAGAATAAATATTTTTTTCATCCACACAAAGCAATGGTTCGCTTTAGGTCAGTGGAATACAATATGGAAAAAGATCCATTAGGTAATGGGTTCAAATCCCAATGACTTGTTTTTTAAAGGTAGATCTGATTTTTTGTAATGGTTTAAAGGTAGATCTGATTTTTCATAAGAATTCAATCGATGTAGGTTGTGTAGGATCCATTGTCAGTGTTTTTTGTCACTGTTTCAAACCTAAATGATATTGGATTGCTCTCTGATTCAAGTTACACTGTCAACGATTGATGAACCCTATGATTTGCACTGTCAATTTTCATACAAAATCCCTAAAAAAACCTTGAATAGTTTTGTAAACCGGTAATCAATATCCAGAGCTTCGAATTAAAAAAAAATACTTGCATACCCGGAGGCTCGATCCCAGGTATAGAGGGAGAAAGTAGAGGTAGTTTACCAGCAGAATTATTGTCATTCATTGTTAATGCTCTCATACTATAAATATAAATCGGCTTTGTGATTAATAAAAAAATACAAAAGTTGCATACCCGGAGGCTCGAACCCAAATACAGATCATAGACTAGGTGATACTCCTCCAGTAAGCTAGATTAACACATTGAAATGCTTATTGAAAGAACAAAATACATTTAAACAAATCTTTACTCAATTGCCAAATGTCGCTTTATGGAGATTGTGAGTCCCCCACCCTTTCGTCTTCTTCAATACGAGGAAAACCATCGGTTTCTCTTATTCTAAAAACAAAACAGTTCTCTTGCATCTACCCTAGACCACGATGTTCGTCCCTCAAGTGCCATTCCTCACCTATGAAGAACGACTACGGAGAGGTCGTGATCTTTTCTCGAGAAACATTCCAGTCATCGGGGATTACCATCGCCGGCATATCGATGATGAAACTGCTAGAAGCTATGATCTCATGAGACTTCGTGGCTTTTTAATCCAAGGTACTCTAGACCCTTCTGATATATCTTTAGGTGAGGCTTTTGCCATTATAGATGGAATCGGCTGGTCCTACACAGTTATGCATGTCCATAGGTTTTGCCCTAGAGTTGTTAGAGAATTCATCTCTAACAAACCCTACCACAGCGAGCAAGTACTTATTAGAGGACATTTATTCAACTTCTCGCCAACACTTATCAACCGTTTACTGATGACGCCAGAGGTTCCTCACACATACCGTTGGAATCAAGTAACTTTGAAGGAAGCTATCATATTTCTAACCGGAGGTAGTTGTTCTGCGTGGAGAGGCTTCAAAATAACTGATATGATCAACCCCTTTCAGACTTTGTACCGCATTTGTGAGCGGAATTGGCTACCAGGATCGGATTCAGACGGAATGATTAAATACCGGCTCAAGCTTTTGCACGCTATTGCCAACTGCATTCCAGTCAACTTTGGCCATCTTGTGTATGACCAGGTGATTGAGATGGTACGTTTAACAGATTCTGATACAAGACTCATCTTCCCCAACCTCATTTTCCAGCTCCTAACACTTCAGCATGAGGTCCCTAATTTGCTAGGAGATGAAGGAGTTATCGGAAGTGGTGTTCCTATCCGAAGTGCTTTTCAAATATGTTCATGCTCTCATCATCCCATGGAACCAACAGAGGTGTAGAAGTTATTATTAGTAATGTAAAATATGTTGGGTATGAATATCTTTTGGTGTTTTTATCGGATAGAAAGCATTTAGCTTTGTTTTGTAAGCACAACGACTTAACCATTTTGGTAAGGCATTAATACTAGGGAATCAAGTTTTAACTCTCTCATCCATGAGATTACTAGTTTCCTCAGTGGTTTTTTTATTTTTTGGTCACTTCTGTTGTATGGTAAATGTCTTGCTCTCTCTCTTTGCTTCTATCATGACAATAAATGTTAAGACTGAAGGAGATGAGAGAAGAAGATGAGATATATATACTGATATGCATCTCTCTACGTATTAACGAATGTTCTTTATTTTCTTTCTGATTAATAAAAAAAAAAAACTTGCATACCCGGCGGATCGAACCCAGGTTTACAGGGAGAAAGTAGAGGTAGTTTACCAGCAGAGTCATTGTCATTCATTGTTAATGCACTCATACTATAAATATATATCGGCTTTGTGATTAATCAGAAAATACAAAAGTTGCATACCCGGAGGCTCGAACCCAGGTTTACAGGTTTAAAGCTTTACTTAACATTTGGGGTATAAGAGTTTAGGGTATTGTTACATAATTAAGAGATTTAAATAAACTAAATAACAGAGTTAAATAACAAAGATTCAAATAAACTAAAATAACAGAGTCAAATAGCAGAGTTTTAATAACCTACTTCCTAAACAACTCCTAATTGTTCGAACTTAATCTAACAACCTGTTTCCTAAATAACTACTACTTGAGTGAACTTTATTCAATCTCCACTACTGAATTTGAGAAGGTCTTTGGAGGAGTGTACTTTGACATTCTTGAGATAAACTCAGGATCATTGGCTGCTTCCCATATGTCATAAGCAATCTTCTGCCGGGCTTCACGAATGTTACCGTCATTAACCAATGATAAGTCTAACCCTAGAAGATGGCATTCAATGTGCTTCAACGCATAGACACCACAATCAGTATGACTTTTGTTTAACAAGGGCATTGGGATGTAACTTACATCGTATGCCTTGACGGTGTGTAGATTACTATTTGAAGACTGCACAACTTTAACAATTCTAGGGATGGGAACGGCAAATGGCTCCATTTCTCTCTTGTATTGCAGTCCCTCACAGTCAAAGACCTCAATAGAACGAGTAACGAAGTTGACGCACATAGAGATCCAGTGCGCATCGCCCACACTGAGAGGTATATACATGCGATCAACATCAAGATCCCACATAAGTCTTGTTCTTCCGTGTGATGGAAGTTCACTAATACCGTATTCATTCAGTACTCCAGTTATCTTGAAATTTCTCCTATCCTTCTTAAACTGTAAGTAAGATGTCTTGATTTGATTACCGAATATGCAGCTCATGTTAATGCTACTTTCTTTAAGTTCCATCTACGCAACGAAGTCCTCTCACGGAAGACGTATAGCATAGCATCAATTTCCTGCCAAATTTCAACGAGTGTCAATTAAGCACAATGAGGAATTTAAGAACATGTAAGGTCGAAGCAAAACTCACAAAATTCTTCAACCATATTTCAGGTCCTATTACACGTGATATTAGCTCAGGTGAGCACACTGAAGGTCCAATCTTGAGATTCCTGGGAAACAAAATTAAATTAAATAAAAATGTGATACATGTGAAAATTTTGAGAAAAAACATAAACTTACATATTACTTGAGGTCCAAGCAATCAGTTTATCCCATGAGTCCTCAGGGACAAACACTAAAGAGTAATCGTCATCATCCACCCGGTCTTCAGGCAGTTCTATATCTTTGAGTGTTGGTGGTATCCAATCCGCAGGCTTGAATGAAGATAATGGAGTCACGTATTCAATAGGTTCTTCGTCATTGAGCTGTTGCGAGGGATCAAAACCTTTAACTTGGGATGCTTGGGAAAGGTGACCCATAGCCTCTTGTAAATCCTCTTGTGTCCCCAATTCTTTTTTGCTTTTTGATGATTGTGACAAATTCTCCAAAAAATCCTTCAGCTTATTTTGATCATCCTGTTTATAACAACAAACATCACATTAATATATAAGTTTTACAAAGCAGTCAACTTACAAGCCGATATGCCACATAGAAAAACATACACATTACAAAGGAGTCAAATACATAACTTGCAACAAAATAAAGACTCCGACCACATTTTTCTTTGCGTCATTTTCTGGTTACCTTTCTTCCTGGCCGAGGGCTGCGACGAACCGTAGGAGGATCCTTGCTTCGGCTTGCCTTTGCTTTTTTCATAGGATCCTGGAGAAACCATAGCCTGAGCCGATAAGCTTGAACCCGGAATCTCAGAGGCTTTGCCTGAACATGGAGTCTCAGCTACTTTGCCTTCACATTTTCCCACTGTATCTGAAAGACCAGTAAGGTGAGACATTTGTTCCCTCAGCTGATCTATCTCATTGTTGACCTTCTGAAATTGCTCTTGTATGTCCTTCTGCAACACTTCCTTTAAAGAGCTGAAAGAAGAGGTCAACAAACCTTCCATGAAACTCTTCATTTCACTTGATACACCGCTGTTATGCTCAGCCGCTCTTTGACAAAGCATGTTCTTCTTTCTAGACTCGGAACTAGGATCATTTATCTTGCGCTTCCCCCTTCTTGCATCAACAGCTGGTTCCCTCATAGGTGATACTGGGGCAGCTTCGTCTTCATCAAGCTCTTCTTCATCAGATAACATGAAATTTTGAGGCTTCGGCTCAAGTTCCCAAATGAACTGGGTCCAGTCTTGATTCTTATTTAGCAGATCAACAACACGACCAACTCTTTCATCATTCTTCTCATCTTCTCTTATATAAGCAGCATCATCAATCACTTTCGAGTTCCCAGTAGGATCTATAATGGGAACAGCACTCCCTGACAAGAACAACCACAAGCAGTGAGCATTTGTTTGATAATTAAACTGAATAATCAAAATAAAAAGAAAAAATCACCTTATCAAAATGGGACTCTAGGCTAGTGATATCTTGATAAGATACCTTACCACTTCCTTTCCAATTCATGCATCTTACTGCGGTGACATTTTGTTTGAGCTTCTTACCCACCATAATACCAATGTTCGGGATTGCCTCCATAACCCAAATCTGAAACGTATAAGAAAATCCATCCAGCACGTAACTGTTCTTCATATGTAACTCGGCCCTTGCTTTGACTATTGATGCAAGCAACTCGTCATATGCATGAAGACCCCAAGGATACTTCCTCATTTTCTCGAAATCCATCACCAAACGAATGTATTTCGTGAGGGATATGCACTCTCTCATCCTTCGCAATGAAGAATCCATGGATAACACAGAGATACACTAGCCTCACCATGTCCACGTACGTCCATTTTTTGCAAACTTGGAGGAGTTCCTTCTTTACACACATTAAGTTGATCTTCTCTTTTTGCTTCAGCACCGTGCTCCAGAACCCCTTATCATTCTTCCAACTATCGAAGTCCATATCTGGTTCCTCTTTGTACTTGAGTCAAGTCACAGCATAAAACTCTTGCATTGAAAACCTAAGAGGCCTCTTTGCAAACAGAAACCACAGCTCGTGAAGCTTAGAAACCTTCAACTGCTTGCATATGAAGCTGTGAACAATCTTCCCTGAATAGATGAGCTTGTTATCATTGATGGCCAGAAGCGGACCAAAGACAGGGTCTTTCTGCACTTCTTCGTACTCATCCTTGAGAGCAACCTTCAGTATATCAAGAATTGTACGTCTACATGTGTTGTTAATCTTAGCAATCTGATGCTCAATGCCTTCTTCGAAAATGCGTTTTGGATACTCCAAAGCCATGCCTGTAAACAATGAGATCAAATAACATTATAGTCAGTATCAATTGACACACTAAGTACAAAACTCTTAACAATAACTTAATTGATCGGTTTTACATGTTAAATTGTACACAAAAGAATCACAAAAATATATACATTGTGAGCTACTCAGTTCAAATAACAAAGCTAATCCAAAAAATCCTCTTGTAAAATTGTACTCTTTTACATGTCAAACATTACCGCAGATAAAATAGTTGAGTCTCTAAGCATCTAAGTGTTTTACTAATACATGCACATCAACACAATGTAAAGCAAATCAATATCGAAAAAGGGTCTCAATTTTCATCTCGGTTTATAGTTGAAAATTTTTGATAATTGTTGAGTTTCTAGTTCTTCTCACTGTTTTACTAGAACATGCACATCGAAGGAGATCTCAAAATCTAACCTTCGATTTTGGGAAAGGCTAACCGAGATGAAAATTGATCTCCAACTTCTTCTTAATCAGTGATGAAAGCTCTCGTCCACCTCTTCCCTATATCGATTTACAGTTTCAAAGAGAACAAAATCAGTTTAGAGTTAATCACATAAAAAAAGCTCAGAGAAAACAAGAGAGGAAGTAAAATAAATTACCAGAGGAAGCCGGAAGGAGGAAGGAAAAAGCCGGAAAGAGGAAGGAGGAAGCCGGAAGAAGGAAGGAGGAAGGAAGAAGCCGGAAGAAGGAAGGAGGAAGATTCGCCGTCAAACACGCCTGAGAGAACACGACGGAGAGCACATGGGAATCGGAGCCGGAGAGAACACGAGGGGAGCTTGGATTCGATTTACGGATTTTGACCCCTTTTGACTTAACTGTCGGTATATGTATACCGTATTGTATTAGTATATGTATTTTTACCTATTTTTAATTAGTTTTTGTATTTTTTTTTAATTCTATTTAGAAAATTTTATAAATTTAAATATTAAGGACTAAATTGAATTTTCATTATAATTTATTTTAAGGGGACATGAATCATGAAATTTATTCTAATGGGATAATAATTGTCTTTTTTAGTCCTCTTTTGACAAATTTCCCTATATTATTTTCTTTCATTTCATTGGTCATCAGTTAGATCCAACATCTTTAAATAGAGGAAAATTTTTCTAAATAGAATAAAACCTAAGATTTTTTGTACTTCTTAGTATAAAACATTTTTAATTTTGTCCCACTGGTATAATGTTTGCTTAATGTCAAAATAGCCCTTGATTTGACATTTAAAGTAATTTATATTAATAAAAATAATCAATTAATAACAAGTTCAAATTAAATTGAAACAAAAAAAATTAAAACATAAATCCCTAAATCAGATGAACTCAAACCCTAAATCTAAGTCGTCGTTCTACGCCCCTATTCCTCTCTCAATGAACACCATTCTTCTCTCGGTAAAATCAACGGCAAGACTGGCTCTAATCGACTTTCCTCCAGTTGAAATCCATCATGTAGTTAATTGTACCTAATTCACATTTCTCATATTTAGAATTCTATTAATTTTAGAGAAATTAGAATTACTTGTTTAACTTTTTTTTTTTTAACACTTAACTTTACTTTATAACTTCTGAAATCCATACTTGTTTAACTTATAATTTAGTTTCTACCATGTCATTCTTTTGTAGAAGATGATTTTATTTCCGTAGAATAAAATTAGAAAGTTTTAATTTTACAAGTTTGACAACCCAAAAAATACCAATGTATATATGGATTTTCATTAATGTTACTAATTTTTTGATTCATAAAAAAATATTTATTTCATTAAGTTTAATAAATAAAAAAGGTAACTGAGACAATTAAGACAAAAACATATCTTATATAATAAAGTTAAGTTTTCTCCCTTCTTAGGGTGTCCAACTCAGCATCATAGGGTGGGGCAAAAAAAGCCACGTCAGCAGTTAATCCAAGTATTCACTCTTAATTCAATCGCGTCCCGTCCGGTTTTCTTTTTCAATTCCGTATTGGTATGTTCTATAGTAGGTTGGGCTTTGCTGTTCTTTTATAATATTTAAAGGCCCAACATTAAACCAAGATACTCTTCAGACTTCATCGTGTATTTGTCCGGTTGTCTTAATTAAATCACGGTTTGAACCGGTTGTATATTTTCTTGGGCTGGGCTGAATTTGTAATCTTATTGAAAGGTCCAAAAATATTTCCGGTCTTTGCTTCTTCTTCATTCCCTCTTCCATCGACTTATCGCTTGAGCTCAGGAAACGCAAACCACGATCTCAACGAGTCAATGGCTCAGATGCCCTTCTACAAAAAAATTAAATCACTTATACCCTCCACTAATCTTCATACCCTTCACCATTTTATGCAAATCCCAAATAAATCATTTCCAAGCGATCAAAACTAAACTAAACCCCCCTATGTATCAGTGAACCCATGGGTAAATCTTTAAATTCTATATGTTTCAAATTCGAAAAAAAATATTTTAAAATCGTTTTTAATCATATTTTGATGATTTTCGGAAAAATATGAAAAACAGTTTTTTGATTTTTGAAATATTTTTATAAATTTCTATAAATCAAATAAAAAATATTGAGGTTTTCAGTTTAATTTTATGATTTTCGTTTGAAAAATAAAATTAAAAGAAAAAAGTGAGGACATTTGAGCTTTAAACATTTCAAATAAGGGCACTTGAGGCAATTACTCGATCTCAACACTGTAACGCCTCAGCCTCGCATTAATATGTAATTAACTCTGAGCTTTTACATTATTATCACACTGGGACGCATTTAGTTCGTCTCTTCGCCTACCACACAAACCGGCAAGTGTTCGATTATAAATATCACACCCTCCAACGATGGACAACGCAACTCAAACAACATCCAAAAGAAAACTTTGTTCTAACTACCGATTCCTGACATGGCGACCTCCTACACTCTCCTCGCTGATTTGAAGGCCGGTCTTTGCTCTGACACGGGGGAGGTGCGACTACTCCATTTTTGGGAGGCCAGAAATAGCAACAGAGCCGGGGAACTAATAACTGTTGACATGTTTCTGATTGATGAGAATGTAAGAACCTCTGATTTTGGTTAACCCTCTCGACAATACATTCATTCCGATTTCTATTGTAGAGAAAATGAGAGGAAAATGTTTTAGATTTATAAGAGCCACCATTGACTCTCATTGATTTAATTCTATCGGAACCTCCCCAATCATAGTCGCAGAATGTGGGCACAATACATCCACATGCGGCTACTCTAAATCTCCTATCGCTCCAGTATCTTTAACGGTTTGTTCCCTATCCATTCAATTTTTGTTTTTGATCGATTCGTTGAGCATCACTGATACAATGATGATATGATTAATAAAGATGCGACCTTTGCGTATGTTTCTAGCTTATTCATTGATAACTAATTTCTTAGTGACTGTGTCTTTATCTCCAATACAAGTTTGTGGGCAGAGAGACTCACTGTTAATGATTACCAAGTTTTGTTGCATCCATCTTGAGATTCATAGGTTTGATATGTGTAGATAAAAAGTTTGAATTTGAAATAAAGTTCTGATTTTGTTGATGATTTAGCTTTGAATTCATTTTGATTAATGCTTTCTGTAGTGTCAAATTCTTCCTTCAAGTATGCGAATCCATTTATCGTTTCCGAAACCTAAGAGAAAAGGGTTTCGCTTTTAACCCAAGAGAAACCAATTATCATATATCTTGTGTCAAAGATACAAGTGTGATATTATGTTTTGGTTTTCTTATAACAGCAGCCATACTTTCTTTAGTAAGCTCTTTTTATCAACTGTTGTGAATAATCTGAAATCAGTACATACTAGAGAAAAGTTGCATTATACAATGAAAGCAATGGCCTCTGTTATCCCTATTATGTGATTCCTTTTTATGTATGGTCACGTTATTTATGTCTTGGTTGTTGACTAGGTGAAAACATGGTCTTCACTTCTGAACACGTTCCGCAGCAGCATAAAGCTAGAGCTGGAGTTGGTGTACAAAGTCCAAATGCAATAATGCCATGAGGACGCAATTTTTCCCAGAAAAAAGTAAGGTTGTGACCTTTATCTTCTCCCTGAAGGCACCATCCTCCATTTGTTCTGTAAAGGAAACTACTCAAGAGGACATGTTAGTCCATGGGAATTATGTACGACATTTCATCTCCCAACTTGGTTTCAAGACAAAACTTATTCGGCCTCGGAGGATTTTGGCTGACGTTTTTTTCTAAATTTTGTGGTGAATGTTGCAGCCAAACCTTTGTGAAAAGCCTAGAGCCATTTTTGAATTTACTTAAAGAAGCAGAGGAATGACGTTTCTTCTCCATCCTGCTCTGAATTTTTGTTTCTTTTCTAAAGTGAATAATTTTGAGAGTTCTATCTATCTATAAGCTCTATTCTTTAAGATATTTTCGCAGCACTCTACTTTTTATTGATGTTTTTTTAGCAATAAGTATGCTTTTTAGATGATTGTGTTTCCTTTTCAGTTGACTATTTGTTAGTATATGAATTTGTATGCCAGTTTTTAGTTGACGATTCATGGTAAATCATAGTAGAAACGGCCTCATGTAAAGTTAATTTGATGCTCCTTCTATAAAAACTAGAATCTAAGACTAAAATGTAATGTCTATATTGATTGGAAACAAAATTTACTCAACCTTTTAATGTAAAATTCATCATTTAAAGTTCATCCGCAATGAGAAACATCAAAGAAAGAAAATCTAATCTTTTTGGACTTAACTGGGTTGGGGAATAATAATGTTGATGACCAAAATAAACACTACAACAAAAATATAGCTATCATATTATATGTTAAGAACACAATGCACCTATTCCTTTAACAACTATGCAGACAAAATTACCTTTCATCTTTGAGAAGAATGATCTCACTGGAAGTAAATTTCCATTTATAGCTTCATTTAGAAAACTAATCGAACTATTAAATTTGAGTTTCTTTTTTACCTTTTCAGTTTTTAGTGGTACTATAACTCATAGTAAATTGTCGCTTAGTACATATACTGATATACATGTGTGAAGAAGTTGGATATCGTATATTACAACACAAACTATATTTCGTCAGTTACATTAATCTCATATGTTGAAAAGTATGAAAAGTTATATTTGGTTTGGTTCAGTGTATTGACGGGAAATTTTAGTTTTTATCATACTGGTTGTGATTGTTCTTTAAACCATTATATTAACAAAATCACCAAAATAATAAAGCAAATTCCTTAAAGTATTATCTTATTTAATTAAACTAATAGAAAAATTATAAAATTTATAATATATATTTTCTTAAACACATCGGTTTACGACAAAGAGAGCTCCATCAAGTCAGTAAAGAAAAATTCATCGAGTTAATAAATAACAAAGCAACACTTTGAGTTTTTAAGCTATGGCTATCTCTTTTGTGTGAAACTTTTAATGGTTTTTTGCTGATTATTGTGTACAATTATTTTAAAGCTTATAAAAAACTTATGATACCTAAAACAATGATTGATTTCAAATTGAAAACTAGCTATACCTAAACCAACAGAAAAAAAAACAAAATGGGGGCCCATAAAAGTGGAGGCTCCATGCAAATGTTTAATAATAATATGTGCAGGTTCGACTTTGCCATCACACGACATGTCATGCAATTATCTCCAACTATCATGCAATTATCTCCAACACTAACTGAAGCTGCTAAAGACACTCATATTTACAAGAAACTAAAACTCAGACTGTTGACCATCTATCCACTTGCATCTTTAATAAAGTATAATGATCTCATGACCAACTGTTTATTAGCCAGAAATTTAGAAGCTTACTATATCAAAAGCATTCAAGAATATTTTGAAAAAAACACAAAACCAACGTTGGTCTCCATCATCTATAAAAAAATATATCTAGATACATTTTATCTTTACGTATAACCATGTTATGCATGCGAGAAAACTATGTTGGAGAAGTATACATTAATAACATTGGTTGATAGTAAGACCATAATGTGGATACTCAATTTTGGAACCACTTTTTAAAAAAAATATTGCATGGAGTACGAGTTCAATGACTCGATTGTTAGTCCACCGTTACAAGCAAATAAAGGTAGAATTTTCATTTACCCAAACATCATTAACAAAAGACGCAAACACTGCTATTTAAACAAGGAAATGAATAAGTTCGTCTATTTCATTTGAAACAAGTTGTTCAATATTTATATCTTAATATTATAATTCAAAACACAACAAAAATTATGTACTATGTAAATAATACTTTAAGGTAAATTTATTTCTCTGCAATAAAAATAAATTATCACTTTTTTATGAAAAAACTCATGTGTCTTATCAGTCTCTAACATATAAAATTCCTAATATCATATATAAAAATAATTGAAGTTGCATCACTCAGCCGCATCCCACTATTTGAATACGTGTCCATAAACACCATTAGTAAAACACATAACCATAATTCTAACTTATACAACAAACCAACAAAATAATTTAAAATTTTGATAACACAAATGTCAAACAATCCGCGCGTAGCGCGGACATACCACTAGTTTTATAATAAAGGGATAAATTGTGAATTTTTGTTCTATTTTGGCAAATTTCCCATAAATAAAATCTTTTAAATAAATCGAGTGAAATAAATCAAATCAAGCTTAGTTTGGCAGACTCTCTTGTCAAGATGAAATCAACTGCTTCCTCGACCGTGTCAACTACCTGAAAGAAGTTTTAGATGAACATTAGCCGTGGGAACAATAACAAGCTTCTAAACGCTAAGTGAATGAAGTCTTTACGGACCAGATCAGCAGGAAACTCAGGATGATTATCTTTCCCTTTGAAAACTCCGGTTCTTGTCAAGATTGAGAACCAAGGACTCCCGGCCTGTCACACGACAGATTAACCAATGGTTTAAGTCTTAAAATAAAGATTAGTGGAATGTATTGATAAACATACAGTATCTACTCTGAGAGAAAGAGAACCAAACCTGCCGTGCCCCTCTGATGTCGATTTTAGGGTTGTCTCCGACCATATACAGCGTCTTGAAGTGGTGACTTCCTTTGTTTGAGAGGGAATGCGTTGATGTAGCGATTTCTTTCAGAACATCTTCTGCGTTCTTGAACACGAATGGGTTTGGTTTCCCAAAAGATGTGTACTCCAGAGGGTTAACATGGATTCTGCACACATATCCAAGACCCAATCATGTAAAAAATGAATACGGGAAATATAAATATCACATTTGTTACGCCTTTTAAGAACAGTAGTGTCGTGTTTTCTGAAAGATGTGTGTCATGTGGAAGAGACATGATATTACCTGTTGAATATGGATTCTAAAGCGATTCTAAAAGCTCCCATGCCAAGACGTTCAGTAGGA